GTTATAATTATTATATATAAATACATTAATACTATTTCGTTCAGAGGCGTAGAATATTTATAATTATAGCGAACAGCTGCCTCAAATCAGTCCTGAGAGTGGAGACTCTCTCGTTCAGAGACGTAGTAAATTTATAATTATACCGAACATCTGCCTTAAATCAGTCCCGTCCCGAGAGTGGAGACTCTCTCTATCAGAGACGTAGTAAATTTATAATTATAGCGAACAGCTGCCTCAAATCAGTCCCGAGAGTGGAGACTCTCTCGTTCAGAGACGTAGTAAATTTATAATTATACCGAACATCTGCCTTAAATCAGTCCCGTCCCGAGAGTGGAGACTCTCTCTATCAGAGACGTAGTAAATTTATAATTATAACGAACAGCTGCCTCAAATCAGTCCCGAGAGTGGAGACTCTCTCGTTCAGAGACGTAGAAAATTCATAATTATAGCGAACAGCTGCCTCAAGTCCCTCACGAGAGTGGCGACTGTCTCTTTCAAAGACGTAGAATATTAATAAATATAGCGAACAGCTCCTCGAGTCCGTAATGACAATGGAGACATATCTCGTTCAGAGACGCAGAATATTTATAATTACAGCGAACAGCTGCCTCAAGTCCCTCACGAGAGTGGAGACTATCTCGTTCAGTGGGGTAGAATATTTATAATTATAGCAAACAGCTACCACAAATCAGTCCCGAGAGTGGAGACTCTCTCGTTCAGAGACGTAGAATATTTATAATTATAGCGAACAGCCGCCTCAAGATTGTCCCGAGAGTGGATACTATTTTGTTCAAAGGCGTAGAATAATTATAATTACCGCGAACAGCTGCCTCAAGTCCCTCACGAGAGTGGAGACTATCTCGTTCAGTGGGGTAGAATATTTATAATTATAGCAAACAGCTCCTCGAGTCCGTCATGACAATGGAGACATATCTCGTTCAGAGATGTAAAGTATTTATAATTATAGCGAACAGCTGCCTCAAGTCCGTCATGGGAACGGAGACCTATGTCGCTCAGAGACGTATATTTATAATGATGGCGAACAGCTTCCTCAAATCCCTCACGACAGTGAAGACTATCTCGTTCAGAGGCGTAGAATATTTATAATTATAGCGAACAGCTGCCTCAAGTCCCTCACGAGAGTGGAGAAAATCTCGTTCGGAGACGCAGAGAATTTACAATTATAGCGAACAGCCGCCTCAAGATCGTCCCGAGAGTGGATACTATTTCGTTCAGAGACGTCGAATATTTATAATTATAGCGAACAGCTGCCTCAAGTCCGTCATGGGAACGGAGACCTATGTCGCTCAGAGACGCAGAATATTTATAATTACAGCGAACAGCTGCCTCAAGTCCCTCACGAGAGTGGAGACTATCTCCTTCAGTGGGGTAGAATATTTATAATTATAGCAAACAGCTGCCACAAATCAGTCCCGAGAGTGGAGACTCTCTCGTTCAGAGACGTAGAATATTTATAATTATAGCGAACAGCCGCCTCAAGATTGTCCCGAGAGTGGATACTATTTTGTTCAAAGGCGTAGAATAATTATAATTACAGCGAACAGCTGCCTCAAGTCCTTCACGAGAGTGGAGACTATCTCGTTCAGTGGGGTAGAATATTTATAATTATAGCAAACAGCTGCCACAAATCAGTCCCGAGAGTGGAGACTCTCTCGTTCAGAGACGCAGAAAATTTATAATTATAGCAAACAACTGCCTCAAATCCCTCACGAAAGTGGAGACAATCTCGTTCGGAGACGCCTCAAATCAGTCCCGAGAGTCGAGACTCCCTCGTTCAGAGGCGTAGTAAATTTATAATTATAACGAACAGCTGCCTCAAATCAGTCCCGAGAGTGGAGACTCTCTCGTTCAGAGACGTAGAAAATTCATAATTATAGCAAACAGCTGCCTCAAGTCCCTCACGAGAGTGGAGACAATCTCGTTCAGAGACGTAGAAAATTTATAATTATAGCAAACAGCTGCCTCAAGTCCCTCACGAGAGTGGAGACTATGTCATTCAGAGACGTAGAATATTAATAATTATAGCGAACAGCTCCTCGAGTCCGTCATGGGAACGGAGACCTATGTCGCTCAGAGACGTATATTTATTTATAATGATAGCGAACAGCTTCCTCAAATCCCTCACGACAGTGAAGACTATCTCGTTCAGAGGCGTAGAATATTTATAATTATAGCGCTATGTCGCTCAGAGACGTATATTTATAATTATAGCGAACAGCTGCCTCAAATCCGTCACGAGAGTGGAGACTATCTCGTTCAGAGGCGTAGAATATTTATAATTATAGCGAACAGCTGCCTCAAGTCCCTCACGAGAGTGGAGACTACCTCGTTCAGAGACGTAGAATATTTATAATTATAGCGAACAGCTGCCTCAAATTCGTCACGAGAGTGGAGACTATCTCGTTCAGAGGCGTAGAATATTTATAATTATAGCGAACAGCTGCTTCAAGTCCCTCACGAGAGTGGAGACTATCTCGTTCAGAGACGTAGAATATTTATAATTACAGCGAACAGCTGCCTCAAGTCCCTCACGAGACTGGAGACTATCTCGTTCAGTGGGGTAGAATATTTATAATTACAGCGAACAGCTGCCTCAAATCCGTCCCGAGAGTGGAGACTATCTCGTTCAGGGACGTAGAATATTTATAATTATAGCGAACAGCTGCTTCAAGTCCCTCACGAGAGTGAAGACTATCTCGTTCAGAGACGTAGAATATTTATAATGATAGCGAACAGCTTCCTCAAATCCCTCACGACAGTGAAGACTATCTCGTTCAGGGACGTAGAATAATTATAATTATAGCGAACAGCTGCCTCAAGTCCCTCACGAGAGTGGCGACTGTCTCTTTCAAAGACGTAGAATATTAATAAATATAGCGAACAGCTCCTCGAGTCCGTAATGACAATGGAGACATATCTCGTTCAGAGACGCAGAATATTTATAATTACAACGAACAGCTGCCTCAAGTCCCTCACGAGAGTGGAGACTATCTCGTTCAGTGGGGTAGAATATTTATAATTACAGCGAACAGCTGCCTCAAATCCGTCCCGAGAGTGGAGACTATCTCGTTCAGAGGCGTAGAGTATTTATAATGATAGCGAACAGCTTCCTCAAATCCCTCACGAGAGTGAAGACTATTTCGGTCAGAGACGTAGAATATCTATAATTATAGCGAACAGCCCTTCACGCGAGTGGGGACTCACGAGAGTAGAGACTAACTCGTTCAGAGCCGTAGAATATTTATAATTATAGCGAACAGCTGCCTCAAGTCCCTCACGAGACTGGAGACTATCTCGTTCAGTGGGGTAGAATATTTATAATTCTAGCAAACAGCTGCCACAAATCAGTCCCGAGAGTGGAGACTCTCTCGTTCAGAGACGTAGAATATTTATAATTATAGCGAACAGCCGCCTCAAGATTGTCCCGAGAGTGGATACTATTTTGTTTAAAGGCGTAGAATATTTATAATTATAGCGAACAGCTGCCTCAAATCAGTCCCGAGAGTGGAGACTCTCTCGTTCAGAGACGTAGAATATTTATAATTATAGCGAACAGCCGCCTCAAGATTGTCCCGAGAGTGGATACTATTTTGTTCAAAGGCGTAGTAAATTTATAATTATAGCAAACAGCTGCCTCAAGTCCCTCACGAGAGTGGAGACAACAGTAGTTATTCTAACGCGGGACTGTGACGATTCAAGGTCACCGATGGCATTTTCCATCAGCAGTGTACCAAAGCCAGTTCTTCGTAAGGGGTCATGTAAAAGAAGTAAAGGTCACGCCGAAGAAGTGGAAACTGTCACCATTAGGGTGTACACAGGTGTATGGGGATCCCTGGGGGTGGGTAAGGTAATTACACCTGTGTCGAGGTGTGACGTCATAGTGCCTTTTTGGCGCCTCCCCTTGGGGAAAAAGTGGTGTCACTGATTAAAAACATTTTATGACGTCATAGTCGCTAGTGCCTTTTTGGCAATTGCACCCCGGTAAAAAAAGGGGTTCGTAGAAAAAATAAATTTCGTAGTGCCTTTTCGGCACTACGGGGGGTGGGGGGTGCAGGGGTGAGAAATTTTTGAGAGCCGAAAAAAGCGACCGCCGATGTCTCGCGGGCGGGATTCGAACCTCGAACCTTCGGATAAACGCCGCCGCCGACGCGCGCTGTTCCCTTAGCGTAACTGGGCCGGCACGTTATCGTGTCGTGTATGCGCGCTGGTCGATATAATTAAATAAGTGTGCACCGATAAAATTGATGATTTATTTAAAACATTTACATTGATAAGTTTGAATGGAAAACAAAATAATATCTAAAAAGGTTGTCGAGGTGAATACAATTAAATAAATGTGCACCTATAAAATTGATGATTTATTGAAAACATTTACAAAATATTGACATCGGATATAAATTTGCTAAACACCACAACGTATTTCTTCTTCTTCTTCTATAGGGTATGTTCTAAATTCTTGTTTTTTTGGCCGCTGGTGGTGACGACGACGACGACGACGACGACGATGATGGAATAACTTCGTCGCAATATAAACTTATATTGTTCGAACGACTTGTTGATTGCGAACAATATTTTATATTACATATTGGATGATTTTTAATGGATTCTTCACAAAAGCAAAAAGATTTGTTACAGTTATTACAGTACTTGGTACCGTTATAGTAGTAGTAGTAGACTTTGGAGTTTTCCGAAACATCTTGTTTCACTTTTTTTTCGGTTGTTGTTACGTAACGATCACTATTTATGGCTGCTGCTGCTTCGTACTTGACTAAACACTTTAATCCAAATTTTACATTTTATTAGATAAACAACACAAAAATGTCTCATTTAAATGATCAAAGGTTATCATATATTATTTATTATCATTATATTTTGTACATACAAAGTAAATATGTTAAAATTACAATTTGCTACATTTTTCACTATTTGATTGCGTAGATTTAGAATAAGTTGACGGTGTAGCCGTCAGCAACTCCGCTATGCCAGTCCCAAGCCTGGGGCCTTGCCACACAAGGGGCAAGGAAGGAGGAGGGATCGAGGAGTAACACCTCGCTAAAAAACCTAGGTTCAGCTGGCCCCCGCTGATAGCACCTTGTAGGGGCCCCTTGTCCAGGGTTACGGATGAAGACCACACCGGCGGTGAAGGCGAAGAAGAAAGCTTCGATTCGGCGGAATCGGCGTAAGTGGCAACCTAGGCTTCTAGGGGTAAATTCAAAGCACCGAATGACTGCCGGTATAAGCAGTCCCCCCCTGTCGGTCAACAGCTTCAGGTGGAAGAACTGAGAGGAGTCGGGGCACTCTCTTGTCCCAGAAATGAGAAATCGTTTCAAAGGCGGAAGAACCAGCAGATGGTCAACGGCAGGGGAATGCAGAAGGCAACGGGAAACCACTGCATTAAAGATCTCTCTAGATATCCCCAGGATATTCATCCGATAAACTCTTATCATGTTGGAAGCTCAAACACAAATGGCCTCCAGTCCCGGCCAGACCTTAAATGGTCAGGAGGTGCGAAGAATCCCCCGGTTCCAACTGGATAAGATAACGAAAATAGCGACCTGGAATGTTAGAACATTATTTGCAGCTGGAAGGCTCGATAATTTGATTCAAGAAATGGACAGAATGAAAATAGAGATCCTTGGAGTATGTGAGGTCCGATGGCCTGGAAGTGGAATGGTCAAATCAGGAGGAAAAGTCTTCTACTACTCTGGTGACAATGCTAATCGTAATCAACACGGTGTTGGTATCTTGATGAACGAGAATCTGCAGAAATCTATGAAGTGCTTTGTCCCAATCTCCGAGAGAGTGGCTCTCGTCCAGATACTTGGCAAGCCTCTAAACATCAATATTATCCAGGTTTACGCTCCGACAGCAGACAAACCTGAACAAGAAGTCGAAGACTTCTATAAACAAATAGATACGGCCTTGAAACTCACAAGGACTAATGAAATAAATATAATTCTTGGAGATTTTAATGCCAAAGTTGGCAGGGGCAGGACGGGGTCAGTGGTTGGCGACTGGGGTTTGGGTGAGAGAAACAACAGGGGCGAAGGGCTGGTTCAGTACTGCGAGGAAAACAATCTTATGATCGCAAACACATGGTTCAAACTCCCGGCAAGACGACTATACACCTGGACACCTAGACTACATCATAATTAACAGAAGGTTTCGAAATTACATCACCAAAATTTCTACAATGCCGGGTGCCGATATCGCATCAGACCACAACCCGGTGTGCGCCAACATTGTTCTACGTCTAGCCAAACCTAAGAGAAAGAGCCTTAGGAAGACATTCGACCTACAAAAATTAAAAGTTGAAAAAATAAGACTATCATATGAGGACCATCTTAATAAAGAACTAGAAAACGTTGTCAACACCAACGACACTGACAGGTACTGGCTCGATCTCAAGCGAGCCTTTACAACCACAAACGAAAAGTTTCTCTTGAAAGAAAAAACAACAAGTAAAAACAAGTGGATGACCGAAGATATCCTAAAACTGATGGAGGAACGAAAGCAATGTAAAACCCAGAACGATTACAACAGATATGGAGCTCTTCAAAGACGAATACGAAATGAGATCAGAGCGGCAAAAGAGAAATGGCTACATGAAAGATGCCTAGAGGCCGAAGGCCTTTGCAGGCTTGGGGATAGTTTTCACCTTCATAAAAAAGTAAAAGAAATAGCGGGGTTATACAACAACAGACCGCTTAGCCTCATTAAAAACCAACACAATGAAATAGTGACAGAACCTGAGGAATTGCTGCAGGTATGGAAAGAATACACAATTCGTCTTTTCAACGACGATAGACCAGATAATCCCCCAATAGAGATATCTACTCTCTCAGGACCGAGCATACTGAGGAGCGAAGTCACACATGCCATCAAGCTGATGAAAAATAACAAAGCTCCGGGCCCCGACGATATGTTCTCAGACACGCTTCATTTAATCAGCGAACAAAACTTGGAAAAGATCGTGACACTTTTTAATAACATCTATGATTCCGGACACTTCCCAGCGGATTGGCTCCGCTCTACGTTCGTTGCAATGCCAAAGGTGAACAGCGCAACATCATGTAAGGATTATCGTCTCATTAGTTTAATGAGCCATTTTCTAAAACTTTTTCTCCGAATACTTCACACAAGGCTCTATCGGAAATGTAAGGAAGTGAGTGGGGCTAGTCAGTTCGGATTCAAGAGCGGGTTTGGAACTAGAGAAGCCATATTCAGTCTTCAGACGTTGGTCCAAAATTGCCAGGATCAAAGAAAGGATGTCTTTATGTGCTTCATCGATTACGAGAAAGCGTTCGACAACGTTAAACACGACCTTCTGATGACATACTTTGGAGAACTGGGACTAGATGGAAAAGATATAAGGTTGATCGGTAATCAGTACTGGCACCAGAGAGCGGAGGTTCGAGTGAGCAACGCTGGAACAACCGAAGATTTCGAAATCAAAAAGGGCGTTCGTCAAGGATGCATCCTGTCCCCCATGCTATTCAACCTATACGTAGAAAAGGCATTCTCCGAGTCCATCTCGGGTAGTCCTCTTGGTATTAAGATAAACGGAATCCCCATCAACAATATCCGGTACGCAGACGACACCGTGATATTGGCAGACAATGCACAGGATCTCCAGAGTCTGCTAACGCAGGTCAATGAAGAAAGCACAATATTAGGCTTAAAAATTAACATCAGAAAAACCAAGGTTATGACCGTTAGTAGGAGCGATATTCCTAATGCGCGAATACATGTCAATGAAGAAAACATCGAACAGGTCACACAATTTAAATACCTGGGATGCATGATCAATAAAGGATGGGACCCGGATCAAGAGATAGGATGTAGGATCGAACAGGCTAGGACAACCTTTTTGAGGCTCGGAAAATTCATTACAGACAAGAACTTGAACTTTGGCCTCAGATATAGAATGGTGAAATGCTATGTCTGGTCCGTCCTCCTATATGGTGTCGAGGCATGGACACTGAGGGCACGAACCATCAACAAAATTGAGGCTTTCGAAATGTGGATTCTACGACGTATGTTAAGGGTGTCTTGGGTCGATTACGTGAGGAATGAGGATATCCTAAGAGCCGGCCTGGCAGAGCGAGAACTATTCGAGAACATCAAGAAAAGGAAAACAGGATATCTCGGACATATAATCCGAGGAGAGCGATACCACTTTCAGCGTCTCATTCTTCAAGGCAAAATTGAAGGAGGAAAAAGGGGAATAGGCAGAAGAAAGTTATCGTGGCTAAGAAATATCCGACAATGGAAAGGGATAAGTGACTTCCAAACGCTACAGAATGCTGCAATTAACAGAACCATCTGATAAGAAGGCGATGAACGCCCACGCAGGAATCTGCTTGGCACCTGAAGAAGAAGACGGTGTAGCACTTTTCACTTATTTTTTTCAGAGATTGGGTGATGCGCAGATAAAAACATTCGTCGATAAATATATTTATTTAAATTCTCAATAGTATATAAATAATTTTACGCATAAATGAAACATTGATAATCTAGACTAGATAGTTCTACCATTTTTTTTTAAATCATCTAATGTTAATTCATAATTTTCAACAATTATAGATTTATTTCCAATTAGATTTTCCAAGCCGTATCTTCCACAATACATGATCGTATTTTCTCTCGGAAATATCGGATAATAATTCAAATGTTGACCAATTACTGTACCTATAATTTTATTAAACGAATTTCGAATTTGCGTTCCTACGGGAAAAGCACCGTCAAAATAGAATGCCGGACACTGCTTCAAATTTATGTTTTCTTTGGATTTTTCGTATAGGTAAAATGTTCCTCTTTCAATTGGAAAAGTGTAATTTTCAACGTAGACTTTTTCCAAAATTGAGTTTGCTTTGATTGGAGTATGCACGACGACAAAATCGATGAAATTTAAAGTCACAATCAGACTAGAAATTATTTTTGTTTGAAACATGTTTTTTGTTTAAACTTGACAGATTAACAATAAATTACACAATGAATAATATTTGCAACGTTTGATACATTTTATACAGTTTTAATAAGAGCATGCGCAAATAAAAGATCACCATTATGTTAAACTATTTTAATTTGCAAATAACTATACAAAAAATTAGTACAAAATTAAATAATTCTGACAGTACTAGAGAGGGGATTGTATTTTATTAAACGATCATGTATGATAAGACAATAGGCGGTTGTGTTTGCGGGAATATTCTGAGAAGTTTCAAATTCCAGCCGAATATCTACCGAACCAGATTTTAAACTTTCATTTTGTCTACTACAATCTATTACAATGAAAGGCGCCAACTGTAAAAACGTCTTAAATGTTAAACGGGGTTCGCTTATTTGCTTATAATAGTAAAATTGTTGAAATTGTGCGTACATTTCATATAAAATAGCGATATAATTTTTAGTAAAATTTAAATTAACGTTATCATATGGATATGTTTCTGAATTCAAATACAATTTTATATTACTTAAATTACAATGGTCAAAGTTGGACATATTTTTAGAAACATAATTTTTTCGAAGAGTTTGAAAAGCAACTAAAACAAATCGAGGTTTTTCAAGTTGATTTGTGGCTTTAACGTTCCACGTGTGTTTAGTCGTTTCCTGTAACAATGGATATTCGTGCAATTCCCAACTTCTAAAAGCCAATTCTAATTCTCGTCCTTTCTCTATATACTTGAGAAGTCGTAGCTTTTCCACATCTGCTACTTGTATGTGCGGTATTCTCCATATCGCTTTATATAATTCTATTTTGGGTTTTTCGTTTTCTTTCGTAGATATGACGGCGTTACTATCGTTGGAGCTTCGAATTAAAACCAATTCTTGTCTCATATTGATTAGAATTTTTTTGAAATCTTCAAAAAATCCCATTAAATTTTTAAGAGGAACGTTTACATTGAAATATCCATTTTTATTTGTTATTTCGGGATTTTGCAAGTGATTCCAACCGGCATGTTCGTATCGATCACATTCATTTTTTGTGAAAGATGCCAATCCTTTGAGAGTAGTTGCAATTCCAGGATTTCTAACTCTGTCTATAACGATCCCTCCAATTTCATTACGAATTTCATCGAAAAGAAACGCTATAAAATTATTGATCGGTTTAAGAGTCGTGCTTACTTTTTTTTCGCTGTCGACAATTCGTCCTTCGAAATACATGTAACTATTGGTCGGTAAAGTGTAAACGTCTTGAGCCTGTATAGGAATCCGTATTTCATCCGAATTATTTAATGTCGTATTTGCGTATGGAGTGTAGCTATGTAACTCGTAATTAATAATAGAATTGTCCATAAATGCTTGTTCACCTACGTTCAGAATATTAAAACTCATCTTCTTTGTTCTTCTTCTTCTTCTTCTTCTTCTGGTTGTAGTAACTTCCAAAACACTTGCAAAAGACAATAAGTCTTCGTATACCCGAACGGATTGTTAATGTTATATTTAGGAGGAATTTACACGCCGTTTTTCTTTTTGTTTTTTCCCTTCAATGTTAATCCCAGATAGCGAAGAAATTCGGAATTTTCGACTGTTAACGGTTTCAACGATCGACTATGATTAACTCTATGTAGATCCGTATTTTCTTTTATATTCGACGACGTGAAAACGCCATTTGGAATGTTGAGGTTATAGAGGAGCACCATTTTTTATGACACCACTTCCTTTAAATGTATTCTTACTGTTATCGTTTCTCTTTGAAAATTAATCAAATTACCGTCTTGATCCACTATTTTATTTATTTATAGGTAAATATATAACATTTGACACTTTTTCGATTATACGAAATCCGCTCGGCACACTAGGATAAAACATGTGTAGTATATGTACTGAGTTATTATTATTATAAGAATTCTTTATCAAATTACATTCTACACAAACAGAATTTACTTTCGAAATATTTATCGGAAATTCGGATATGTGTAATTGATTGGCAGACAGTTTTCTATTTTTTAATCCCAACAATTTTGCAATCGAATCGCCTTTTTCAAAATGTATCGTCTCGTTGGATTTGATTTCGTATTTTAGTGTATTAAGATTGGCCCTCATAAATAAAACGATTTCGTCATTCATCGACAATTCCTTTTCAATCACATTTGTTTTTTGTTGTTTCTTTTGTTTTTCTTTTTTCAATGTTTCGTTTTTCTCCGTAATCT